CCTCGCCTCACGGACGAAAACCACCTCGAGGCTTAATTACGCAATTTTAAACCTTGGGATCAGTTGAGATATTCAAGACTTGGTTGGAAGCTAGAGGATTTACACAATCCAATGGCAGAGGCTATCAAGAAACTTTCGCTTGTGTTGCAAAACATAACACTATCAGAATTCTTCGCTCATTAGATGTCAACCAAGATTGTACTTGCAATAACTGGACACAAAAAATGTCTTTCTAAATGGTGATCATGAAGATCAGTTGAGATATTCAAGACTTGGTTGGAAGCTAGAGGATTTACACAATCCAATGGCAGAGGCTATCAAGAAACTTTCGCTTGTGTTGCAAAACTTAACACTATCAGAATTCTTCGCTCATTAGATGTCAACCAAGATTGTACTTGCAATAACTGGACACAAAAAATGTCTTTCTAAATGGTGATCATGAAGAGGAAGTCTACATGAAAATCTCATCTGGTTTTCAAAAAAGCATGGCAAAGAAATAGGTTTGCAAACTCAAGAAGTCCTTTTTCCAGCCTTAAACAATCTCCCCAAGCTTGATTTTACAAATTCACAAAGGTTGTTTTGAAGCTAGGCCTACATAGAGGGTCAAGAAATCTCATGCTGGGAAAATTGCTATATTGATAGTCTATGTCGATTATATTATTCTACCCAGTAATGATGTGGAGGAATTACAAAATTTGAAGAAATATTTGTCGGAAAGTTTTGAAGTTAAAGATCTTGAAAACCATATAAATATTGCTTGGAATGGAAGTGGCTAGATCAAGAAAGGACATTGTTGTTTCTCAAAGGAAATATATTCTAGATCTTAAGACCGACATGCTTGGATGCAAACCTTTTGATACTCCTTTTTTTCTCAAGAAATGTTTCTCAAGCCACCAAGTACTTACTAATTGATAAATTTTATCCATTCTAGGGTAAGAAGTTCAAGCATATTCATAAGCACATCGAAGAGCAGACGAAAGTAGTGTAGGACGATGACTGCGATGAGAACATTACAGCGTAAAGCCGAAGGGAAGTAGTTGTTCGCCGGGTGGTTCTACTGCTGGCTGTTATGCCGCCTGCTAGAGAAAGACGACGCTGTTCGCCTCGGAAACTGAAGGATAAGCGCCGCTGCCGTTCGTTTCCTGGAGGACCTCGTTGCCGTCGCCGACGCTTAGGTCTGCTGGACTAAAGCGGGATTAGATTAAATAAACTTTTTCGGGGAATAAAATTTAAAATTTATTGGATATAATATTTATTAACTGTTGTCACATCTCGTAAATTAATAAATAAAACCAGTCATAAAATTGCAATATAAAAATATTATAATTTTTATTTAATATTTTTAAGAAATAAAATAAGATTAAAACTAAACAAATACTTGTATTATAAATTATTTTAATTATTTTGAAATTTTATTGATTTTGATTAAAATTTTAGAATTAATTTTAAATGAATTTTGATTATTTTTAAGTGATTAATAAAGATTTATAAATGCAAAAAAAAAAATTCCAAATGAGTAGTTATGACAAAATTATTTTATGATCACTATTTTTAAATTAGATTGAACTCTTAGTATCCTCATTGGTATTTGTATATTTCATACATATATGATCAAATTATAATATTTTTTATAAAATTATTTTTATGAATAGAATTCTACCTTTCGTATATATAAATTCTTATATGTTCATAGAGATATCTCATATGTACCTATTAAGTTTCAACAAGAGAACTCGCTCAAAGCAATCACATCTTTTGCTTAAGGCACTCACTCGCAAGGAACCCAACTCATTCGAATCGACTGAATCAAGTAGTCATCCCGAACATGCACATCAAGGGATCTGTGTAAACCCTTCCAAGCTCAAGAAAAACACATGCCTCGATGGAGATAAGCCTCCCAAGGTCACTTGTGGCTCTTCCGCCCTCCGTACTTATTGAAGTCTTATCATCCTCTCTAGCTCTTATCAAGAAGACTAATTGCTAGTAAGGTCAAGTATCATTCATATACAAATTTGAATCAAAGATCATATAGCCCAATCAAATAATTTAAAGCTTAGTATAAGACATTGCTTATAAAATTCCTATATTAAATTTATTATCACATTCATCTTTATTAAGATATTTATTCATAAATGGTACCATTAATAGAGATTATATTCTGCAAAATATAAATCTTGTTATAAGAATAAATTGGAGAATGAATACTTTTCTTATACATTTTTATCCACATATAAATGTTGGAGAAATTATTGTGGTTTAATAGTTTTCTGCAATTTGAATTAAAAATGAAATATTGATGTAATTGCATTGCATGGTTGTACATATTTTGAGTTATCTAAATTATTGAAAATAGTTGGAATTTAATTTGAGGATTTAGCTTAAGCATATATTTTTATTAAAAAAAATAGACAAAATTAATTTTTATATTGGGATTTAATCAGGCTTTTTTTTTGGGATAGTGTTCTTAATGCTTTCTGAAAAAAAAAATTTGGTAGTAAAAAGCTATTTTAGAAAGCATTAAAAAAACCGTCCCAAAGGAAGCCTAAGTCTTCAGGATGTAAAATTCGCAAAACTAGTTGGCATTACGAATATTAAGGTTTTATTTGGGATGACTTTCTTATTGTTTCTTAAAGTAGCTTTTTAGTATAAAAATTAAAATTTTTGTATTAGAAAATTGCTTTAAGAAGCAGTAAGGAAGTCGTCCCAAACGAAACCTAAGGGTCTATTTGGGATGGCTGCAACATTTTATAAAGTTGGTTATGAAGCTGTTGTGGGAAAAATAACATGGCTTGACTAGTTGCAAAATAGCTTCGAACTACATAAAACATTAAAAAGCAACGAAATAATAATAGTCAAATTAAAATGTAGTTGATGTCCGAAAAATAACGCAACTAGAAACCGGTCTCAAACATACCCTAAATTTGATTAAATTTTGTTGAATTATTTGGCTATTTATATTAGGATTTAAATATGTTGGCTAAAATAAGTTTTTAATAATTATTATTTATTATTACATGAAAAAAAATTTATATAGCCTGTGATTATAATTAGCATAAATGACATTTTAATTAGGATAACAACTCCATTAATCATTACTTAGTAATTTACTCAGCTAATTAAATAATAAATGGCATTTAGTTAAATTAAATAAAAATTAATATCAATTCACTAAACCAATTAGACAATAATCTCTATTAAGTCAAATTACACCACTCCATTAATTAAGAATTTATAACATTAATTAAAAAAAGAGAAATATTAAATCAAATCATAAATAATATTATTTTGCTTTGTTTAATATCTTTGTTTACAAATTGAAGCGAAGCCTTCGTTTGTATCATTTTTAGCTGAATGAACTTCAATTAACACAAATCATGACATAATTCAAAACTTGAGGTGTTTCATATTCATATATTAAATAGACATAAATGATGATAGCTAACAAAACGTTGATAACAAACATTTGAGCATTATGGTCTTGAAGAAAAGAGCCAATGCATTAAGAAATCAAATATTCATTGTCACAATGGCGGAATTAGATTAATGACAATGGGTTGAGTTTTGTAAGGAAAAGTTTGTTCATCATAGACAACATGAAGGGAAAGAATAATTCAACTAATAGATTGATCTAAGAAATTATAACCTTTGTGGTTGGTATCATGTCCCAAAAACACATTGATTTGATAGGAGAGCTCATTTTTGACGATATGATGGTGGGAGCCACAAGTAACAAACATAAACAAAGATTCTCAAATGTTTATAATATGTCGTTTTCTAAAATAATAAGTGGTAGTGAGATCTTTGTTTGGTAGTCAAATATGGTATTTGATTTAAAAGGTAAATCCTCACTACGTAACTGTCAGACCATATATTATAATGTAAATTTGCCTCATCTAGAAGGGTATAACTGATCTTGAGAATGCAACGATGTTTATTTTCGCAAGCTGATTTTGTTACAAGGTGAATAGATAGTTTGTTTGGTGCATGTGCCTTGGGTTATAATGAGTTTTTGAAAGTTATGGTTAATATATTCATCACCAACATCAGTTTAGAAAATTCTAATATGGATATGGAATGAATTTTCAATCCTATTTTTGATCTGAGTAAACTATTGTATAACTTCCTATTTATTTATCTAGATAACACCTAAGTAAAGTGTGAGAGAAACTAGCATATTATTTGTAATCTTGGATAGAAAAAATGGGGAAGGTCCCCATATAACTGATTGAATCAGTTCCAATGGTTTCTATGAAAAGGAAGTTGATAAGCCTTGGCCACATTAATTGAGTTGTAGAAAGTAATACTATAGAAAATATACATAGCTTTATTCTATTTTGAAATGGTTGAGAGAGTGGAAAAATGAGAATGTCTAGTCTTTTGTGCCAGTGACTTTGAATGGTAGGAACAATTACAATATAGTTGAGTGATGTGATGCTCGGTCATTAGAAAAAGGATAGAGATCATTCTGACATGGGTCTTAAAGGAGTATGCAATTAATCCTTGAAGTACTATTGAGAACATCAAAATAAATATAATATTTCTTATGAGATTATGGATGGAGAGAAAATCATAAAAACAAGTTGGGTCCTGAAGGAGTATATACATAACTAATATATAGGTAGGAGTTGACAAAAGACACCAACTGGAATGTGCTATGTGAAAAGATGTTCTATCGTCCATGAGCATATTTTCTAACTCAAATTAGGATGCAACTTGTTGAAGTTGTTCAACATTGAGGGGGAAGTGTAATTTAGCACTGAAATCCAAGTACCAATTAATAGACATTGATTGAGAGGTGGTGAAAAATGCTTTCTTAAAGTTTAATGGGCTAGTTGGTGTGTAACTCAAGCTTGCCCTATGCCAACAGTGAAAGGTCGAGTAACTTCATGTGCCATAGATTTGGCAAACCATCGAGTTAAGAGAGAATTTCATGTCCATTGCTTTGCTGCAACTGACAGCCACCTCTGTGGCTTTAAATAGGTGATCATCTGCCTCTATTATGAGAAGAGGGTTGAATTTATGATCACATACTATAGTCGAGACTATTTGATGATCAATGAATCATTATTTGATGTTATATGGAATGCTATGAATCTCCTCGTTATATAATAGGGAGTAAAAATTGTCAAGGCTTATAGAAGTTAGTTTTGTGTGAATGGTCAACTTAAATGATTGATATGAAGGTAAACTATTGATAATATAAAATATAATATCTTCATTGTCAAGAGACACATTAATAGCTTTGAGGTTATCAATAAGATCCTTAGCATCTAATTGTTATTAGGTCATGGTTTATATTGTTTCATGAAAATGTCATGTAGCTCTATCTTTAGTTGTATCACAAAAGATCAATTGGATGACTGAAGGCATTTTTTAAATGATGAGCATAAACTGAGGTTTGAAGACATAGGGAAGAATAAGTTTGATTAAAGTGGGGTAGAGATCTATTGTTAAATTTTGACCTATGAGCAATATCCATATATCATACACTGGATCAGAATGAATTTGTTTTCATTTTGTTTGGGCATTGATTTAATCCATCTAGGAAATTATCAAAGCCATTTGCTATAAATCGTTGGAGGATTTGGGATCTCCACATTGAATAATTGACATTTGTGAGTTGCTATTGACAATATATTTGATAGTAGTCTATGAATGTTGAAGCAAAAGAGAAGGCATTGATGTTATAGCTCTGATATCATGTCGAAGTAAATAAGAAAGAGCATACAAAGCGATTAAACAACCGAGAAATAATTGAGTATGAAATTATTAAAAGATAAGAAGAAATAGGAAAGAAGCTATTAACTTTTTCATCATAAACATTAGCAATGTATTACACTATTTTATAGGCTTATGGTGAGAAATGGATAATCATACAACATGATTCTTTTTTCCTTGAATGGTAGAGATTCATTGGGTTGTTATTAGCATGTGGGCTAAGATTTATCTGCATGTGTCATAAACCCAATAACATTCAATTTTTTTGCATCAAAACCATCAAATTTACATTAAATTTTCATTTTCTACTACTTTCTAAAATAGCATTTTAAGTATTAAAATTTCTTGAATTAAAAATTTTTGCGCTAAAAAAATTATTTTAAAAAGCAGTAAGAAAATTGTCCAAAATGAAACCAAAGATTAACACTATTCATAAAACATCATATAAATCACTAATTTCAACGCACATCGAACAACTCTGAAACCCATCACTACTTAACATTATCAGATTTTTGTGTTTTTAATAGTCTTGTACTCACCAAGCCCTAAATACCCATTGCAAGGAATCAAAGAGTGGGTTCTCTTAGCTTTACTTGCATAGTAAATATTGTAAAAGACTTCTCCGATAGTGTTGGCAAAGGAGAGAATTAGTTGGACATCCCAGGAGATGCATGCTTGGTAAGCTGACGTAATTGCTTGATGCCAAAAAATACCAATTTATATTCTTTTATCTGTTAAATACATTTACTTCACTCTCAAAAAAAATATATCAACTAATAGATTCTTGCAACTTAGTTTGGCGATAGGAATTTTCTCAGATAAATTCATATCTTTACTATGAATGTTTAATTTTCTTAAGCTAAGACTCTTTACTTTTACACTATCAATATCACTTTTTATACTCAAGAAGAACAAAATTTACATAGTAAATTTGCTATTTTACAACAGTACGAGGGCAGTTAAAATGCCACCCCTGATTAAATTGTATACTGTTCGGTATCTTGCTTGGCTTAAGAAAACGCCAATATCGTTAGCCAAAAATGCGTTTGCTCATTCTAAATTTCTATGTTTTACAGCAATTTACAGGCATCAATGTCAAAATACAATAGCTTGACTGATGTAAGAAGATCGAGAAAAAAATCAAAATGATTCCGGACTATTTATACGAGATCATTATAGTTCCAGAGTATAAATATCATCAAATTAGTTTCTTGATCCTTCAAATATGATTCAAATAGTCCATCTATTGAATTATTTTGTATCAAATTTGTTGAAGAGTCAAATGACTATATTAGACACATTAAATAATTTGGAACTAAGGCTTCGTTTGGGACGGCTTTCTTCCTGCTTCTTAAAGCAGCTTTTAAGTACAAAATTTAAAATTTTATACTAGAAAGCCGCTTTAAGAAGTAGGAAGACAGCCGTCCCAAATGAAGCCTAAAATGGCTTCCCATAAATAATCCGGGGATCATTTTATTATTTTTTTCTCAAAGAAGATCATTATAAATATGAATCAAGTAATGAGACCTAGTGAAATACCTGAGAGGCATAAAACTCGCTCTCATTGAAGAATGGTCTCAGATCTTCATGACACATGAAATCAAGAGGAAAGGAGACGAGATGTCCCCTCAAGGATTGCAGTCTCTCCAGAGGGTCGGTTTCTTTCGGATTTCCATTCTGATATGCCTCAAGCTTTTCTGGTGCAATGCCTAGATCAATGGTTGTGTGGCCAAGCTTCTCCTTCCAGTAAGAAGTGCTTTGACGAAAGACAGCTCTGTGAATGTTAAAAGACTTTCTTGAATTAGAATTCATGGATTTTTTAACACAGATGGTAGCCTGAAGCAAAAATGGTGACATGAATTATACCTGGAGTGGATTAGATCACTCGGCACACACGAAAAAACATCTTGGTAGATCATAGTGTTTGTCTGCCAACATCAAAGGAAATATAAGAGCAAGACCATAGCTATAAAAATCATTATGTAATAGAACCATATACATTTGCATGTTCCTTGATCAGAAATGTGATAGGAAATACTAGAGTTCGCAAGTAACCCTAAGGGAAATATTTGAGTTCATAAGGGAACCTATCACTAATTGGTGAAATTAGCGATAATGCATAATCTGGGTGAAAACAGCTCCAAAACATTGTATTAAGATAAGGGAATCAAAGCCAAACAAACACGAAAATAAGATACAAGTGATCCTCAATTCGAAAGGACCGTCGCTCCCAATCTCTAGGCAAGGAATCTAGAGCCCAAGACATCAAAGTAACTACAAGAGAAATAACCCAAAGCATGCATGCCCTAACCCTAGCCTTTCATACTATTTTATACTGCTCAATACATAATTTCTTCATTTAATTAATTCTCAATACAAGCTTTCCTAATACAAATTTCCTACTTTGTTGTTGCTGCCCCCCTCTCTCTCTCCTTTTGCAGCCCTAGAGGGCCCCACATGATTTTCAAGGAGGCGGTTTAGCCTGTCTCCGGTAAACCTGGGCCAGCCCCACCTGGGCCGGCTGGGTCGGTTCTACAGGAACCGTATCAAAATGCAGATATTCCAAAGGGAGTAATTCCTATTCTGAACAAATAGACAATCACCATAGCATTTTGGGATCATGGGTTCAAGTCACAGAAATAAAAATAGGCTCTTTGTAAAGGTGTAAGATTACATACATCAATGTCTCCAAAGACTTTGCACTCGTCATGAATTTTTTATTTTTTTGTACTTCAAAATATGTGGCAAAGTAGGCTATTACTGCATATCAAGCATCATACTAAATGGCTAATAAGTAAAAGTAACATATATTGCGGATTATTTCAGTTCACAATTTATGACAAGTCATAACTCGTGCAGAAGAATTCTAAGCTTAGCATAGCATGAAATAATAATGCCTGTCCTATATAAGGCTCAAGATCTGCATATAGTTCCTCATAAATATACTTCATTGTCATGTCTGTGGAAAGGTTGTCAAGCTAATCACAAAAATTTGAACCAATTGGACCAACCAGCGTGTTAATAGAAAAAAGATGAATTGAATACGCAATCCGTACCTTTGCTGTAGCCATCCAGATGTCTTTGTACGTTGCATCAACCACAGGGTCACGAATCTGAGTGATCTGGAAGCATTGAAAGGACTCCATAGGTTAAAAATAAAACGTGACATTATGCCATTGTGATCATGCTATTCTATATTTCCTCAATGTAAGTACGTAAACCACTGCAAGAAGCTTAACAGTACTGAGTACATCACATAAGTTAGATGCAGTTGCCCTTTCATTCTATCAGAAACACCCCCAAGGCATTAGAGAGAGGAGGAATAGGTCTAGGAGAAAGTGACCGAAAAGGAAAAAGTTAATGGCATTAGACTATAAGAGAACCAAAGGAGAAAAGAGAACGAAAAGAGGTAGGAGAAAATTAACAACCTTGCTTTTTATTTTCAGAGATGATATCATGACTATTTATAAAACAAAATTCTACAGTATTCTTTATTAAATTCAGAGAATTGGAAAGGGAAAAAAGCATTATGTTATTGTGCAAAGTTATTCCTATTTATAGATCTATACAAGATATCTTAATAAGGAAGCACATAATTACAAAATAATGCATAATTATACTAATATAATCCTTCTTAAATCAACCACCCAGATATGGAAGGAGATTGGCATAATCCAGGTGAGCTTCTCACGGATCCTCGTACTGGCCATGGGATCAAGAGGGAAGGGACGGTTGGGACAGTCTTTGACACTCCCCCTCAAACTAAAAAATATAGATCTTTTATTCCTAGCTTGGTAATCAGTCCCAGAAATGTATTATTGCCAAGCCCCTTTATAACAATGTTTGCAAGTTAATCTTTTGATGAGACATGATAAATACAAATAAGTCCACAGTATGATTTCTCCTTTATGAAATATTTGTTCACTTCTATGTGCTTGGTATTATCATGCTGAATTGGATTATGAGCTATGATAATTGCAAATTGCTGTCACAGTGTAGCTTCATGGGTCCTTCCCACTTAATCTTTAGGTGTTCTTGAATTATTTTGATCCATAGTAACTCATAGCTACCTAAGGCTATAGCTCTGAACTCTGCCTCTACACTAAATGATGAGGACATCAGATCGTGGAAGGTTTATCAGAGACGTGGACGCCGATCTACGGCCACGATCGAGTCTTTGTATTTATGAGTCCTTTTTTGTTATTTCATTATTTATGTATTTTTATTTGCTTATTGTTATTTTGGTCTTTCCGTTTGTACCCCTTTAATGGGATGTGTCTTGTATGAGCCCAAAGGGCAATTGAGTCTTTTATTTCTTTGAGTCCATTGTACTTGGCTATATAAATAGCCATTTGCTTATTGTTTCATGTTAATGAATGATTGAAGAAAATTTCCTGCACTTGTTTTTTTAGATCTTTGAGAAGAGCTTGAGATAGAGAGTTCGAGAGCTTGGTGGAGCCTAGGATAGGCCACCCCGTCGTACCCAACAGTCACAACCGGTGGCTCTTGGTTCTCCACCCTTCATCCTTTCCCCCCAACCTCTCGGTTAGAGCCCTCACCCGAAACCCCCTCCTCCTCCCCGTCCAACACCCAAGGCCAACACCATACCACCAGCCCAATCATCTAGCCGCCGGTCCCCATCCACCTCCTCATCCCCATTAAAACCCTTGCCTAATTTGGATGGATAATTTTGGACTGATTTTCAAAATTCAAATTCACTCATTTGAAATTTGAAAACTTCCCTAAATTACAATTCTATTTTTGGAAAGTTTCTAAATCAACTCTATTTGAATTTCAAATTCAATTGGACTTGATTAATTACTTTCCTAATCCCAAATCTAATTTAGGCAAGCATGACACCTCGCCCCAAATCCCCCTTGCCCATGTATGCCGCCGGCCTCCCCTCTCTCCTATCTCATTAAATGCTCCCCAATTGTCTCCTAAACTCAAGTCTAGTTTTAGGAAATATTTCCAAACCTCATCTCCTCTATTTGGCCGAAAATTCCCTCCTCACAATTCCTCCAAATTATTTCCTAACTAACTACTTGATTTAGGAAATCAATTCCCCCCCCCCATTCCCCATCATCCCGCCGCCCCTTCCCCACTTTTCTCTCTAGCCGCCCCTCTCTCTCAACACCATCTCTCTCCACTTAATTCTCCACAAGACTTAGGATTTGGAAATCTTCTTCCTAAAGTCTTGTTTCTTAAAAATTTCAGATTTTGAGCGGTATACGTTCTTCGCTACACCTCTCCTTTTCCGTGGATGAGAAACTTCTTTCTCTCCCCAATAGTGAAGAAGACGCATCCTTTGGAAGAATCCTCTCCTAGCACCTATGAATGGCGGATCCAGAAACTGAGTACATAATAAATTGGGACAACGACGGTTTCACCGACATCCTACGATCCACTTTCTTCAACGTGAATCCGAGGATCGACCTCACCGTTGAAGACTACTTCGAACGGATCCTAGATACCTTGGTGGAGGCCATTGACGAGCACTTCGAAGGCGTCGAGTGGAGGATCTCCACCAATCCTTGACGAAGGTTTTTTTCTCCCGTGCATCTTATATCTTCTAGTCTAAATTCTCCTGATTTGATTGCAATCACGACGAGCTACTCCATATTGCTCTTGCTTAAGCTTAGTAATCTTAGGATTGAGCGCACCTCTATGCTTTCAAATTCTCATTGTTAGACTAGGAATTATTTTGAAAGCTACTACTACTCATCATGTTGTTTTCCTATTTATTTTGGAAGTAAATTCTTACCATGTGATTCAAGCCTAAGCGGATAACCACTAAGTGCTTTATTTCGTTGTTTGAATTTGCTCGTAGATTTGTTCTAGAATTATTTTAATCATAAGTTGTGCCCAAATCTAAATGAATTAAACATTGCATATGTAGTCCTGCATCACTAAACCTTGCCACCACATTTTGTTTATTGTTCCTCCATGTAACTAGGTTACCTCCAATGAATGTGTAGTAGTCTAAAATAGTCGGTGATCCTGCGTAATCTGCATCATTATAAGCTCTAGGGTTATTCCACGTTTTCTTTTAAAGAGAATCCCCTTTCCTGGATTTCCCTCGAGGCAGTGCAGTATTCTATCTACCACTTGCATATGAGTCTACTTTGGATTCTTCATGAATTAGTTGATCATGCTTACAACAAAGACTATGCATGGTCTAGTGTGAGAAAGGTAGATCAATTTCCCCACAAGTCTCTGGTAAGATCCCTTATCTACGTCTGAATCCTCTTTAGCTTCCCCCAATTTGAGATTAGATTCTACTAGTGTTGGTACCGGTTTACAAGCTAGTTTACTTGTTTCTTTAAGAAAATAAGTAATGTATTTTTGTTGTGAAATGAAAATTTCTCTGCTGGATTGAGTCAATTCAATTCCTAAAAATATTTTCCCACAATTCTTTGATCTCAAATTCCTTGACAAGACAACCTTATAATCACTTTCTCATTTTCATCATTCTTAGTCAAGATGATATCATCCCCGTAAAAATTATGGAATGATATAAAGTTGGTTACGGGGTACACGGGAGATTTTTTAGGTGAACTTGTGTTTACCCCAATAGTTTGGATTTGTATGCCCAGAATATACCTTTCCAAATCTCATGTTATCCATAATAGCTTTGTCCTCAATTTTCCTAGTTTTGGTTTCAAGTTTAGGTGGATCGATTTGAGATGGAGCTAAAAGGTCAATGGGGTAAACTCACTTTCCTCGTCTTCCTCTGTTTCAGTCTCCCCTTGAATAGGAGGTTTGGTGAAATAGGATTTTTGTTCGTCAAATGTGACGTAAACAAATACAAGGGTTTTCTTGGTGGAGAGGTGATAACACTTATAACATCTCTGGCTGGATGAATATCTAACAAAGATACACTTGAGTGCTCTTGGATCTAATTTTTCTCTATTTTGACAATGAATGTGAACATAAGCAGTGCACTAAAAAAATAGCATACTACATACAAAACACTAACAAAAGTAACTCCTTATGCGTTGGCGTTCAGAGCTGAAGTAGTACCGCCACTTGAAGTTGAGTTAACATTACTTCGAGTAGCTGTTCAGTACGACCTCACAAAAGAACAAAATGCTCGCTTGTGAATAGAAGAGCTAATCACTACATGAAGTTAGACTCCAATCTCAACAGAATTTAAAAATTTATCGAGCAAGTATGATAAAATCTTTCGATCGTATGGTACGGCATCGAGCATTTCAAGAAGGAGAATTTGTCCTGGGGCTGAGAATGTCAATCATCCCGCGTCGAAAAATTAGTGATAAATTCAAACCAAATTGAGAAGGCCCTTTTGTCATCGAGGAGTACCAAGGAGGAGCCTATCAACTTGTCAATATGGAAGGTCGACGACATATGCTCCTGATCAATGGGAAATATCTGAAGAAGTACCATTCCTAAGAAAAGCAAGCTAAAGATCATTCCCTTACAAAGAAAGAATATATTTTTTAAGATGTCTTACTTGCATTGCATTGCATTTTAATCACTATATATGTTGACGTACTTTTTCGCTCAAAACTAAGTTTTCTACCCCTTAAAATGTAATCAATCTAAAAATTGATTTAGGCTTCACGATTTTCTAATAAGTAAGAAAGTCTTGCATGGCTCCCTTCAAGGAGCCAAGTCTTTCAAATTTAAAACAATCATGCATGGCCAAATGTGTTGCATGTAGAAAGCCCTCACTTAAGGATTAGATAACAAAAGTCTTTTTTCTTTATGAGTCAGCATTTGCATACCCACATGCTAAGGCATCTTGGCCTCAAAGCCAAGCTGTAAGACCTACCTTCTAAATGAAAACAACCATACCACTCTACATTTGCATTGAGACCGAATAGCATGGTTTTAAAAGCGATTATGATGAGTTTAGTTGGTAGTCCCTTCCAGGCGGGACAATAAATCCAGAGGTCGGGCTGGTTATGCCTCTTGTGAGGGTTAGCTGGTTATGCCTCTTGTGAGGTGTAGCTTGTAAGTCCCTCTTTGCACTCGTTAGATCTAGGTTCGAGGCACTACCTATCGGTAGTCCTCACCTTAGTCTTAGGGTCTGAGGCATGGGTTGATTCCAAATCACCCTATAAGCCCTCATCTTTCGGGCAATTCCTCCAACAAGTGT